TTTCAGTTTCCAGAGGGACTAACCTCCTACTTCTGAGTGACACATTCTTTTTCATACTTGTTAATAAAACCAAGGATAGATTTTTAAGACCCAGGTGCCATTCTCTTTAAACTGATTGATATATCTCTTCTTGAACCTACTGTGTTTTCATTTATCAATTCAACATATGTCAGAATTTAAGAAAAGTGTGTGTAGTTAAGATGCCAGTAAGAGATTTGGGCAGAATTATATATAAATTTATATTACATATAAATTTAATTTATATATATAAATTAAATATAAATTTACTACACACTTCAAGTTAAAGGCAGAGATTGTCAAAATGAATAAAAAAGCAAGAATATAGTTTACGCCATCTACAAGAAATGCATTTTAAATACAAAAACTAAAACAGTTCAAAAATAAATGAAAAAAAGATGCAGCAACCAAACAGTAACATGTAAGAAAGCTGAAGTAGCTACAAACAAAATTAATGTCAAACAAATACTTCGAAGAGTTTTACCAGAGACAAAGAGAGATACTTCACAATGAGCAATCAATTCAATGAGGATAAAATAATCTCATGTGTGTATGCATCCAAAACCAAGTTTTAAGATACATAAAGCATAAAATAACAGAACTGAAAGGCAAGAGACAAACACATAATTACAGTAGGAAAGTTCAAAACTACCCTATCAATAAGTAGGATAAAGTCAGAAGGAGGGCCTCCCCTGGTGGCGCAGCAGTTTAGCGCTGGGCTGTGAGGCTGCCTGCAGCCTCTGCAGCGCCGTTTAGTTCCCCGGCTGCTGGCGAGGGTCCCACACAAAAAAAAAAAAGTCAGAAGGATGTATAATATTTGAGTTTCACTATGAAGCACTTTAACCTAATTGATAGTTATAAAATGTATGTTCAACAAATACAGAATATACATTTTTTTCAAGTAATGGAAATTCACCAATACAGACCAAATAATACACCATAAAACAAATCCCAATGCATATGAAATGAATAAAATCTTATAGTGTATGTTCTCTGATCACAAAGGAATTAATTAGAAATAAACAATGAAGCATTCAGACAAGCCCCAAATACTTGGATATTAAATGACTCATTTCTAACAACATATGGATGAAAGAAATCACAAAGAAAATTAGAAAATATTCTAACAATAATGAAGACACAACATATCAAAATCTGTGTACCGCTAAAACAATGCAGAGGAGGAAATTTACAGCTTTAAGTGCTAAAGAAGAAAGTCTAAAACCAATCATCTCAATTTAGAAAACTAGAAAAAACTAAACCCAAACAGAAAGACTAGATTTCATAAAAATCTTAAAAACTTCTACTTTTCAAAACATACATACCATTAAAAAAAATAAAGAAGCCCTATCACAGGAGGAGAGAAAATACTTGCAACATACATATATGAAAAAGGAATCATATCTAGAAAAAATATAAAGAACTCCAATTTAAGAATAAAATAATCAAGGCCCTCCTGGTGGTGCAAGGGGTTAAGTCTTAAGTCTCTGCACTATGAAGCCATCAGCAGTCACTGTAGGTAGCACCAGTTAGATCCCCTGGCAGGGAGCTAACCCACATGGCCAAACAGACCTCTCCTGTGTAGCCCGCTGCTCCCCTCAGCAGTGTATTTCAGTCAATCCAATTCGCCTGTTCGGCTCCCCACTTTGTCTCTAGTGAATCCTCTCACTGCGCACCCGCTCCCCACCTCTGGCCTACACCCCAACCGTTATATGCAAAAATAAATCTTAATTTTTTTAAAAAAGAAGAAATCAACCCAATTTTAAAAAGGGCAAAATATCTGAAAAGATAATTCACAAAAGAAGATATATGAATTGCTAGTACACAAAAATATACTCTACATCATTAGTCAAGAAATGAAAATTAAAACATGCAAACAGACTAAATACATCCCTAAAAGGGCAAAGATCATTTTCAATGATGTGCTTACAAGAGATAGGACACAAAACATAGGACACAAACATAGGATACAAAAAGTTTGAATATAAAAGAATAAAGAAGATATTGCATGTAAGCACTAACCAAAATAAAGTGGACTTTAGGCAAGAAGCATTACAACAAAGAGGAATTTCAAATTGGTAAAAGGATCTAACAATCCTAGACTGATATAAAAAGCATTAACTGATATAAAAAAGCATGAACCTATACTAAGGGCCACCCTTGTGGCGCAAGGGGTAAAGCATAGCACCATGAAGCTATCAGCAGCCTCTGTAGCAAGAGCTCAATTCCCAGCCAGGGAGCTAATCAACATGGCACAGCAGACCTCTCCTGTCTCGCCCACTGCTTCCCTCAGCAGTATATTTCAGTCAATCTGCCTGTTCTGCTCCCCACTCTGTCTCTGGTGAGTCCTCTCACCTCCCCCGCACCGCAGGCCTGTACCCCAGTTCTTGTATGCATAAATAATCTTTAAAAAAAAAACCTATATAAAGCAAAAAGTAATAGAACTAAAAGGAAAAGCAGAAAATGCACAGCCAGTTTGTTAGAGACTAACCAACCTTTTTTGATAATTGGGGGGAAAAAAGCAGAGAAAAAATTAAGCAAAATATAGATGATCTGAAACAACAGAATTAACAAATTGTCAATTAACAAGTTTGGCAAACTTGACATATGCACAACACTTCATCCACAATGGCCAACGCTACTTTCAAGTATGAGCACATTTCTGTAGGCCTGCATGACTCAAGATAAACTATAAAACATTTAAAATTATAACATTTAAAAAACATCACTAAGCTTACATATTCTTTCAGAGAAAAAAAAAAAAGAAACACTTCCCAACTCATTTTATGAGACCCAGCATAACTTTAATCACAAAATCTGAAAAGTTGTTACAAGAAAATTCCAAGCCAATATCTAAATTCTAAATGAGCAAATCAACTCTAGCAACATATTAAAGGGATATTATAGTTGACAAAATTGGGTTTATTTCAAAATAAAATCCTAATGTTTAAAAAAAATCAATATAATTTGCCAAATTAACAGATTAAAGCAGAAAAATTATATAATTATCAACTGTAGAAAATATACTGATAAAATTTAATGCTCAGTCATATTTTTTAAAATCTTAGCATATTAAAAATAAAATGAAAACTCTTATCTAACAAAAAAAACAAATTTTAAAAAACATATACAAACATCAGAATTAATGGTGAAACAGTGAATGTTTTCCCTTAAGTTTAGGAAGAAACAAAGGTGCCCAAGATCAACAACTAAAGTTTCTGGCCACTGCAATACAGCAAAAAAAAAAGAAAGCATGTAGTTTGGAAAGAAAGAAAGAAACCTTTCATAATTCACAGAGAACATAGCTATGATTATGCTAGGGGAAAAAGGATGTCCTAAAGCTAATTCCATACAGGCTTTGCAACCCGTTTTATATCGGGGTTGCCCTATAACAATTACATAAAATCTGAAAGAATTTATATTAGGCTTAAGTGAATTTAACAACACAAGGTCAATTATTCAAACAAACAGTATTTCAGTTTATTTTTTATGAACCTGTATGAGAATATAAAAAAGGTCAAATACTTAGCAGTAATGTAAGAAAAGATGTGTTAAGTCCTATAAGCAAAAAAAAAAAATTCAAAATATTATTGACAGAAAATTAAATACATTTTTAAAAATGAGCAATTAAATAAATACTTTGTTCATGGATTGAAAGACTCAATACTGTTGACACAAGTCTACTATCCCCAGATTGATCTATATTCAATGCACGCAATTCCTTTAAAATTCCAGACAAATTTTGTATGGTTGTATAATTGTTAAGCTGATTCTGAAATTTACACGGAAGAACAAAAGACACAGACTAGCCAAGTTAGTCTTACAGAACAACAGTGGAGGACAGAAAATATCAGTTATCAAGATGAACTACAAAGCTACAATGATATGTGGTTTTGGCTCAAAGATAAATGACAGGCCAATGGAGTAAAACAGGAACCCTGAAACAGACGTCCAGAATGTCTCACACATTAATGATGAAGAGACATTATAGTGGATAAAAGATGAATCTTCAATAAACAGTGCTGAGTCTATTAGCTATAAATATGGGGGAAAAAATTACATTGATGTCTTTCTCATATCATATATAAAAAAAGATAATAAAAGCTTTTGGAGATAAGTCAGGACCAATTTATTCATATGCAAAAGTTTCTTAACCAGAACAAAAGAACACACAGATAAAGGGGAAATTTCATGTACTATAGTATGTTAGGAAATTATTGGAAACCTCAATAAAATTTGCTTATGCAACATTCATAGAACTGCTTTTACTTTTATGAATGAAGAATATCTTGATTTGTAAAATTAAATCCATGAAACTCATAAGAAGTTTAAATTAGCGTGGTTTTTAAGACAACTTCTAATGACAGGAAACTCAAGGAATAGTCAAATACAATTTGAATTTATATGTAAAGTGGAATTGTTTTCATTCACTTTTAAAAATGCAGTTTTACTTCTACTGTTAAAACCTAACAATACCAGTTACCACAAGTAACTAAAATAGCAGCCACGTATGAAATGGCATGTTACACAGACATGAATGAGACCAACTTTAATCAGAATAAAGTCCCAAAGCTGCCCTCAGTGAATAGCAAAAATCAGCCATCTGCTGCAACAAAAATAACCTGAAGATACAGAATAATAAGTTTGTTGTAGCAATTTTTATTTAAATGATAAATACTCAGTTTGCTCAGCTGGGAGCATAGCTACAAAAGGACAACCCTTTCTCCAAGTGAGGAAAAACAACTACATATAATCCTATGTATTCAAAAAGTCTCCTTAGATGAGCAAAAAAAAAAAAAGGGCGAGAAATAAAATAAAGATAGTACTAGCTTCCAAAAGGCATAAATTTTCACAGATATTAATGAAAAATTGTATACAACCCAGCTTTCATTCTTTGGCCATGCCAAACCTCATTAAGATAGCACACGTTTTTCTTCCACCATATGAGGAAGGCTATGTATTCTCAACTACAAACATCTTACCTTTGCAGCAAGCTGTAATCCAATTTTGTCAGCTTCAGCCTCCAGTGTTCTACTGTATGGTCTGTCAAACATATACTAAGAAGGAATGAAAAAGACCATTAAGGCCATTTGTTTTATAACACAAGCAGTAACAAAATGGAGATTTTTTTCAATTAATTTCACATAGTATCTAGGATAAAATTTTTATGCGGTCCATGATTAACATTTCGAGAAACATCTTAACCAGGATAAAAGAACACATAGATAAAGGGCAAATTTCTTATACTATAGCATATTAGGGAATTACTTGAAAACCTCAATATAATTCACTTATGCAACATTCGCAACTGCTTTTATTTTTGTGAATGAGGAATATCTTGATTCATAAAATTAAATTCATGAAATGTTTGCAATTTTATTTACTCCATCAGAGGTTAATATTTTTCAAATGTGAAGGAATAGGGGAAAGCATGCCTACAATCTTCTGGAAAGACTACAGTATCATATAGAGTACTTCTATATTTCCAATTATAATCTCTACCTTCTGTGTAAAGGATTCCCAAAGAAAGCTTACTGATGCAGTCTTTTAATATAGCCAAGGAACATCTAAACTTGTACTTTTATAAGAAAATTGAAAAAATATAGCTATTTAATAGCCAGAGACACTACTAGAGGATTTATTTCAGTTAGGAAATTAACCATATTGCAGGATGTTCTTTCTTTGATTAATTATCTTAATTTCCTCTTTCTTTTCTAAGTATTGATTAGCTAAGAAAATGAAATTTTCTTCCAACTTCAATAAAAAATACAAATAGGTATCGTAACTTTAATTTTCCTAATTACTTGTATTTATGTGAATGCTTTCCAGTTAAATTCTAATTTTCAGTAAGTACTAAAACTTTGTAGGCAATAGATCAATAGAAAGGACTTTTGAGAAAAGAACTAGTAATCGGGGCAACAATTTTTCAGAGGTAGCTACATGTCAGTAATGGCTATACATTATAATCAATCGGATCCAAGCATGTGACCCCTAGATAGGACTTTCTTCCTTCTCAATCATATCTGTTTTAGGTTACTGAACTCTACTATATAGTGTCTTCTTTCTCCCTGGGCAATCTGCAGGTGTCCCATAAATCTACTGAAAGTATAACTGATGAAAAATATTGGTTTTAAAAGGAGAAGTCCAAATGCTACATTATTATCTGTTACCACTAATTGTTTAACCAGTTTAAGCCCGGTAACATCATTATCTAAAACAAAGTTAGTAACAGTACCAATCTCCTATAGTTGAGAGTGGATGAAATGAGAAAATAGTAATAGTTCATATTTACTAAGTGCTTACTTTGTGCCAGGTACTATGCTAAATACTAAAATCACTGGTGTCATTTTATGCCCCAGGGATATTTGGGTATGCTTGGAGACATTTTTGATAATTACAACTGGGGGAGTGGGAGAGTGCTACTGACATCTAGTGGATAGAGATAGAGGCCAGATGTTTTAGAGGCTGCTAAACAATCCTGCACTGCACAAGACAACTCCCCATGACAAAGGATATCCAATCTAAAATGTCAATTGTGCTTACATTTAGATTCTACTTTAAAATTATCAATTAAAACCAGGAGTATGGGGTCTCCCCAGTGGCGCAGCGGTTGAGCACTGGGCTGCGAAGCTGCCAGCAGCTTCTGCAGTGCCGGTTCAATCCCCAGCTGCTCCCCGGCCACTGGAGGAGGGTTCCACATGGCGCGCAGATCTCTCCTGCCGCCCGCTGCTCCCCTCAGCAGTGTACTTCGGTCCTTCTGCCTGCTCTGCTCCCTGCTCTATCTCTGGTGAATTCTCTCACCCTCCCGCCCTTCTGACTGTACCCAGTGCTTGTATAAATAAATAAATAAATCTTAAAAAAAAAAAAAAACCAGACGTATGCTTTGAGTTAGTATCATTATCCCAATTTACAGAGAAAGAATCAGAGACCTTTACAGGTAAGCAAGCTGCCCAAGTTCTATAAAATTTAGATCTAATAGAGCCTGAATTCAAACTAAGTCCATCTGATCAAAGCCTGTATTCTTAACCCCTATACATAATTAATCTATAGTGTTTATATGTGCCTAGAATATGATAAGCACTCAATAAACATTAACTACTATAATTATTACTCAAAACCCTACCTGGTAACACTCTGGGTTGCCACATAATACCCAAATACTTAAGATTACAAAATAGAACTCCCCGATAATTCAGTAAAGGCCCTTACTTCTTTCCTCCTCTCTCCCTTTCTCTGACTAATAACAGTTAGTAGTTGCCCCTCATCACTGACTTCACTATCAGCATTCCTTCTGCTTCCCGATCACAATGATCAAGGCAAGGCTTTTTATTTATAGAGAGAGAAACATTTCCTTACCACCAAAAGTATCAGGGGACCATGATTAAGGATGGAAAAAATCAAACAGACGTAACCCCTGCTTTACTCTCAGTTTAATTATTAAACTGAAGAATTATATTGAAGTAGCAGGATTCGTCAAGTATTTCAAGGGAGAAACAGCTACAAATTATCTTTCTTATAATAAAATCTCCTGATTCCATTACAGAAAAAAGCTACTGTAGATAGACAGGCAAAAACTACATTAATTCCATTGACTTTTCAGCACATCAATGACAAAATAAAATTCAAAATATGAGATCCTATAACCTAAGCAATAGCCAATCTTTCTTTTTTCCTTTAGGAACCTTTATTTCAATAAAAATGAAGCCAATTGAGATGGTAACACCAGATCAAACACTTAGTTACTCAATTTCAAAAACAATTAGTCTCAAAGAACTTTGCGCATTAGGTTTAAACAGCACCCAGATGGCACTCTGATGGGTGCTCCACAAATCATTAAATAAACAAATAACAGATTGTTCCTAAAGAGCCAAACCTCCCAGGACTAGAGGAAATATTTGAAGATGTAAAATAAATTAATTAATCATAGTTAACAAAGCAATTATCAAGATTATAAGACCTACTGCAGTTTTACAGTGTTTCAACTAAAACTAAAGAATCAGTAAATTTTATGAGATGATTATCATTACATATAAGCACTTAAAAACAAAAGATTACAAATACCTAGTTAAAATGTCCTTTCAATATTTGCTTGACAATGTTAGTTTAACTGGGACTGAGGAAGGTTTGTAAAGCAGCTTTAGACAATCCTGTGAGTATAAAAATTGACAGCTTTTTAAGTTTCCCATCAAAATGCAAGTATTTTGAGGAAGGGGAATTCAAGCAGTTAGTACATCAGTCATTATGAAAAGCAAAAGTAGAAAGTTTTCAGATAAAAGAACAGAAGGAAAGACAGGGCCCTGTGACCTTCCTTGACAGCATGCTTCCAAAAACTATCACTCAAAAGGTACTAAATCCTTCTATCTCATCCACCTCAGTGATTTGAGAGATGTAGTCTTTTCTACTTTGAACATTCATTATAAAGAATATCCCCTAAAGGGTCTCCCCAGTGGCACAGCGGTTGAGCGCTGGGTTGCAAAGCTGCCCGCAGCCTCTGCAGCACCAGTTGGATCCCCAGAAGCCTGGGAGGGGCCCACATGGCACGCAGACCTCTCCTGCCACCCGCTGCTCCCCTCAGCAGTGTATTTCGTCAGTCTGCCTGTTCTGTTCTCTGCTCTGGCTCTGGTGAATTCTCTCACCCTCCTGTGCTTCTGACTGTACCCAGTGCTTATATAAATAAATAATCTTAAAAAAAAAAAAAAAAGAATATCCCCTAAAGGGGCCTCCCTGGTGGCACAGGGGTTAAAGTCTCAGCACTATCAAGCTTATCACCAGCCACTGCAGCGAAAGTCAGATCCAGGGCAGGGAGCTGACCCACATGGCATAGCAGACCTCTCCCTTCTTGCCTGCCGCTCCCCTCAGCAGTGTATTTTAGTAGATCTGCCTGTTCTGCTCCATACTCTGTCTCTAGTGAATCCTCTCAACACAACCCATAATTCTGGCCTACACCCCAGTATTTGTATGCATAAATAAATAAAAACAAGTCTTCAATTTAAAAAAACAAAAAGAATATCCCCTAAAAATAAGAAAATATAAGGTGCTAAAAATGAGTAGCTATAGTTCATGATAATGTGAAAACATCTCAAGTATTAGTTGCTTTACAATAAAATATCCTCACTGCAAGTCATTACAAATTCAAATTATTGTCTCAGACTTACCTCCTGCAATTTAGACTGTAGCCACTGTCCCAAAAGTGCCAAACTATCCCGAGGACAGATGGCCCAAATCATTGTGAGAAAAATCAGACCCAAGAAATCCAATAAATGAACCAGGCTAGCCTTTTCTGCCTAAGAATAATCAAAATAATGAAAATTACAGTTAATAAATTGACACAGTAAACACCTACATTTTCTAGTTCATCATGGTAATCTCATTAAATAACTACATGTGTTTAACTGACCTTTACCAATTAAGATCACAAGTTTTCTTCTGTGTGCTTTATCCTTTCCCAGTCTGTTTCTCCCATCCCTTGTTTACATACTTTCATACACATTCATTCACTCAACTAACATTTATTGAGATAATTACCATCATTCCAATACAATGACATGCTCATTAACCTATGAGTTTCTTATATTTACAAACATAATAATCATGTGCAATAGTTAAATTCTCCCTATTTTATAGATAAAGGAAACAGAACAAAGAGAGGTTAAAATAGTTGCCCAAATTCACAAAATTATTAGTAAAAGAACAGGAATCAAGTCTACTAAGTTTTAAAATGTCTAATAAAGTCTTCAGTTTTTTAAAAAATTAAATGATTATACTTTGGACAGAGACTAAATGCTACCAAACATATAAAGCAGTTTTCTTCAGAAAAAGATTGGAAGTTGATATGAAATAAGTTTTTGATCTTCATGACCAAATACAGTAAGTATGAGTCATCTATGCAAGTTTGAGATTTTATAAGGTTGGTATTTCTCATCAGAAATTGGGTACTATAAATTTTTGTACTTAGAGCCATTACTTGAATATAACACTTGACAACTAAAAATAACCCCTACAAGGTCCCTCAACAATATAATCTGCCCTCACAAAATATTCTTATATTCACTATAAGTATATTTTAGTATGAAAGAGTTGAAGCATCTAAATGAAGAAGTCATTAATGAAGAGGAAATATTTGTTAATTATTAAAGAATATGTTTGCTGTAATAGTCTTGGGAAACTAAAAAGTTTTAAAAAAATCTATAGAATAAAGCAAACACACAAAAGGCTGGGTCAAACCAAATGGAGACTCCTAAAAGAGAAAATATAGTGTTGATAACATCTAAGACCTCTGCCAAAGAAATATTAATAACTACTTTCTATTTTTAACACTGTTATTTGCTTTTTATGTTTCATCTAATTACTGTTCTTGTAAATGACAAAAATATAGTGAATAAGGCACTGAAATTAGATGCCAGAAAAACAAATGTACTGAATATTAACCTTTCAAATGCTAAAATTTGATCGTGCAGGCATGAAGTCATATCTTCAAAGATAATTTATTTCAACAGCTTACATTTAGTCTTCTATTTATCTTAAGAAATACTGTCTTTGATATTTTCTTGTAACTCAGACAAAATGTATTTTTGCCTCAGAAAAGCACAACTTTTGGCCCATCTTCTCTTACTAATATAAAAGGAATAGACAGAATTCAAGAAAACTTTTAGAGCAAATAGTAACATTATCATCTCCATTTCAAGTTAAAATTATATATAGTTTTATATATTTCATTTCATAATTCCTTCACTATTTACCTAAATGTTTTACCTAAATGTTTTAAAGAAAATATATCTCTCTCCACTTATATGTGCAAAAGAACTTTTTTTAATGAATAACAATGCATTTTTCTTAATGAATAATAATGAGTAAAATCAATATATTACTTTTCTGGACTCATGCTAACTCAAGCAAATGTATATTTACAGCCGCATGAATCAATCTGAATTCTATGGTATATAAGACAAGTGCTGCTGGTAACTACGGCAAAAGGAAGAAGTGCTAGACTTACAACAAAAAACCTGGGTTGAAGCATGGCTTCTGCCACTTTGCCATGTTAGCAGTCATCTTACTAAGAATCTTTTTAAGCATTAGTTTCTTCATGTAGAATATAAAGATATTAAGTACACATCTCATGAGGTTGGTATTAAAATTATGAATGAAAAGGTACATATTAAAAAGCTCAATAAACTGTAAAATGGCAAGGTATCATTCTTATTACTCTGCATTAATTATATATATGGCTTATCATTCTAGACATTTTCAAAGATGCTTCAAGCTATCCTCTGAGAATGAATAGAAAAGTGATTTACCCACTTAAATAGTAATATCACTTTCCTGCAGTTAATTTTCTGACTAGATTACAAGTATGTTAATAATTATGGAAAGTTTAAAATCTAATTTGAAATAATTAGAGGTTGAGAATAATTACTTTTTAGCAAAAGAGACAGGTGATAAAAATAGTATTTAAGAGAAACACTATTCAATACCAAATACTAAAAACCATACAAATGCTCAAAATTAGCCAATCATATTTTTTCAGGTAACAGTATAAGTAAGGCAATTACTAAACACTACAATTCTGTCATTAAAAGAAAAAATCTGAAAAGACTAGTCTTTAAAAGATTTAATTTGTCAACTTCAAAGCAATATTTCAACAATTGCATACTCATGTTAAGTACTTACAGCATGTCCAAGTACTGCATGCGCTATTTCATGGCCCAGAAGAAAGGAAAGTTGATGAACATCAGTTACACTATTTAAAAGTCCAGTAAAGAGAAACACTTGTCCATTCTGCACCATAAAGAAAATAATGTAATCTATTAGAACACCATAAAAATAGAACATTAAATTTACTAAAAATCAAGTTTTAGAATATTTACTTACTGGAAGCACAAAGGCATTTATATCTGGAGAATCAACCACATGAATAATCCAATTGATCTCAGAGATCCCTGGGATATCTTTATTACATTCAATTAGATGATAAAACACTTCCTTAAAAGTTAGGTATCTGGCATCTTTCTCAGTAAGCATATGATTTTTAAATTCTTCCATCCACTGAAAGAGTAGAAAAATATGTAGTCTTTAAGAGTTTTAGCTCTACAAAACTATTTGTATTACTTCATGTACACAATTATATGGGTACTTATTGTTGAACATTTTAATTTTTAATTATGTAAAAATCTGTATAAACACTAAAATTTCTCAAATTTGAATTATTCATGCAAAAGCAATGTGGTTTCTTACAAATGCGACAAATTCTAATAATTAAAAATTTTCATATAAATTGGCTGAAATAAAAATTGTATTTATCTTTTCTATTAGCTTATAAACAAATAAAATGCTTATTTTTTTCTGCTTTCCTAGTATTTGAAAGTAGAGAAAACAAAGCACTGCCTAGAGAACATAAATAGTTCATTAAGTAAAATACAAGAGAAAGTTACTTTCAGAACCACTAAACAGAAAATACCTTATACTTAACAAGAAAGTTAAACTTCTATCAAAAATGACACTTCATTAATTTTAAAGTGTTTCATTCACAAAGATAATTCACACAGGAAATCACTGCAACTTTAGAATTCCTAGATAATCATTTTCTTTGTATTATGCTAATTTAGACTAGCCACCATGATACTTCTGCAGCTACATTCTTGAGACCCATTCCAGTGCAAAGAAAATTAAGGATGTTCCCAAAATATCTTTTCTTTCATATGTGAATCACTGTTTGTAAGCTTCTTCCTTGAGACGTTAAAGATAGATGATTTTGTAGAATATGAATTTGGAAGTCTTTATATCAATTAGCATTTTTTAAAGCAAAAGTCACCAATGTAAAAGATCTGAAACAAAACACACTATTATATTAAACAGTCTGAAGTAAATACAACAAGATTTTTTGTAATTATAGTACTTTGTAAATATCTCTAGAAGAACATATCAAGCAGGATTATATTTGTAAGTTAAAAAGAATGGAAAGCATTTATGTAGATATATAATTTTTTAAAGCTTCTTAGTGATATTAATGTTCAAAAATGCACTAATTTAACAGTAAACTCAATCTTTCTACAACATTTTCCTCAAACTGGCCTGACTTCACTATATCCTAAGAAATATATCAAATGTCTATATAAAATATATTAGAAGAGATTAATCCCCTTAACCTAAGAATAATCTTTTAGTGAAAAACCATCATTTCTTTCAATGACAACCTTCCACTAATAAACTCTGAAATTCAAGTGGAATAAAAAGATATAAAGATCTAACCATGCCAAAGCTAAGTGAGACTAGGAAATTTCAACACAACAATTAGGTGAGTGCATACTCTATATGTACTATGCAACAGAAATAGATGATCTGTTCTCCAGGAACTCACTAATTGGTACAAAATCTTTCATTACCTGAGTTGTTACACTTTCCAAGGGTTAAGGTTTTGAATTCCAACTTTATTTTGCACTTAAAAAAACCATAATTATTGCCAAAACTGATGTTTGGGTACATCTTACTCTACCCCAAAGTTCAAAAATTCAGATTTCATATCTATTTATTCCAAAAATATGCACTAAGGGGCCTCCCCGGTGGCGCAGCGGTTAAGCGCTGGGCTGCGAAGCTGCCCGCGGCCTCTGCGGCGCCGGTTCGATTCCCGGCTGCTCCCCGTCCTCCGGAGGAGGGTCCCACATGGCACGCAGACCTCTCCTGCCGCCTGCTGCTCCCCTCAGCAGTGTACTTCAGTCCTTCTGCCTGCTCTGCTCCCTGCTCTGGCTCTGGTGAATTCTCTCACCCTCCCGCACTTCTGACTGTACCCAGTGCATGTGTAAACAAAACAAACAAACAAATAAATAAATAAAAACATGCCTCAAAAAAAAAAAAAAATATGCACTAAGTACTAAACATACTAAATATGTGTGTTGCTAGTACTCAAAATGATAAAACAGGGTCTCTATATTGGAGCTCAGTCTTTCAAGGGAGACAGATCAACAAATAAATAACTTTGGAAATAATTATGCTACCCTTATGACAAGTATTCTGAAGGAAAAAACAGTATTCAAAGAGAAAGTAAAAATTCAGTTACCTAAGCCCAATATAGCCACGTATTGGGCACAAGTACAAATGAGCTAATTTGGAATTCAATCTGTATGAAGGATAACCCCTTAGAGCCTAATGTAGCCACTGTGCCTTATTCCGTCTGGATCATCAAGGAAGACTCACTTGAGAAAGTGACATTTAAGATGACACATAATGAGCAGTAGCTAGCTGGTGAATAGGAGAACATGTAGGCATTAGAAATACTAAGTATGAAATATCTGGGGCCTTTTGGAAAAGAAAATACCAATTTCCTATCAAAGATTAAAATAAAATACATTTATCTTTCATATTTAAGAAACTTTCCTGTTTGAGTATTATATTGAGCAATCTCATTAAAAACAATTCTTACTACTTACTACTTCATATTCCAGTTCTGATAAAAGTCTGAAATGTTCTTTCCCCAATACTAGTAGCTTGCTCCTTCCTGTGATGGGACTCACTTCCAGGTGAGTAAAATAAAACACTACGAAGAGCAATCCAAAACTACTCAAGCCAAGGAATAACTTCCATTTATTCTTCCTTACACTTTCTTTAAATAGTTCCTTCTTGTTAGGTGGGAGTGCCTGCCACCATTTCCTTATGCCCCTAGAGTAAAAAGAAAAATTCAAAGTTCCAGCACATATTACCAAAAATCAGTCCTCACACTAAAATTTTATGTTGTTAAGTACTTAATTTTTTCTATTTCCTTTACAGACTGTTTTTCAATTTACAAAAATCCAACCTAAATGATGAAAATGTAACCAGCTACATTGAGTGATAGTTTAAAATTCTAATGTTCATTTGAATTAATGTTACTGTAAAGGTACACACTAAATGAGAAGCTCTTTTACTATAGCTATCACCAGTCGATATTGACTATCACATACAAACTGCTATACATGTTATCTTATTTAATCTCTGTAATAACGCTGTTACAAAAGAGAAAATAGAGAGAAGCTAAGCAACCTGTCCACATTGATAGAGGTAAAAAAGAGAAAAATCAACCAAATAAAGCATTGTGATGCAAAGCCTGAGCACCTAACCACTAAATGGGATGAATTGGGCCTCCCTGTGGGCACAAGGGGTTAAGGACCGCACCTTGGAGCAATCTGCAGCCTCTGCAGCACGAGTTCAATCCCTGGCCAGCCAGGGCTCGGCAGACCTCTCCTGTCTTGCCCACTGCTCCCCTCAGCAGTGTATTTCAGTCAGTCTGCCCTTTCTGTTCCCCACTCTGTCTCCAGTGGATCCTCTCACTCCCCACATCTCTGGCGTGTACCCCAGCTCTTGTATGCATAAATAAATCAATCTTAAAAAAAAAAAAATTAAGGATGGGGTCTCCCCTGCTGGCTGGCGCAGGCGGTTGAGTGCAGCGCTGTGAAGCTGTCTGCAGCCTCTGCAGCGCGGGTTTGATCCTGACCAGCCAGGGAGATGCCCATATGGCCGGCAGACCTCTCCTGTCTCGCCCGCTGCTCCCCTCAGCAGTGTACTGCAGTCCATCTGCCTGTTCTGTTCCCCATTCTGTCTCTGGTGAATCCTCTCACCCTCCCTCACATCTGGCCGTACCTCATTTCCTATACAAATAAATAAATCTTTAAAAAAAAAAAAATGACTTGCCCAAATAAATATCTGAGAGGACTCCTGTACTATACCTGTAACCACCAGTCTTCCCACTGCTCATCAGGTTTCTGGTACAATCAGCCAATGCTTTAACAAGGTGCAAGGAAAACTACCTCAGCACTGATTTTAGAAACAAATATTACTCAGTAACAGATACTCCACTCTCAGAGTGGTGTTCTCCACTCTGTAGAACACCACAAAGAGGCAATAAATGCACAGGCACTATAAATAAAGGAATGAGACATATTACAGGTAACATCTGAGGAGGTTCAATTTCTACTAAGCAACAATATTGCTTATTACGGTGCAGAGACATTCTGACAAGCAATGTTCCTAATACTGGGACAAAAATTTTCATTGTCAATTTATCTATGAAATGACAACAGAAATTTAAAATATATACATTCCCTTACGATAAAAATGTCTCATAACTTCTTTAAGTAATATTTACTTTGTTAAATGACACAACTGTCTTTATAGAAAACGTTTCAACCTGAAGGTATTAAAGCCTAACTATTAAGAATACTTATTTCTTATTTTAAACTTTGAGTTAACTTTGTTTAAAATGTATGAAAATCTACCCTAAAAGGTAACTTTAAGTAATCTATATAATAGCTACAAAAAAAAAAAAACAATTTTTTAAATAAATAATTTAAAGGAAAGAAAAAGTTATTAGTCCAAGAATACCCTGGTCTTAATTGTTGATACTCTCATGCACCAAACTCTACTCAGGCTCCCCTGAATTCTTTGTCAACTAGTTCTCAACTTTCAGACTACCAAGCTCATCTCTGCACAATCCAATTTTACAGCACTCCTGATAAGACAGTTAAACCAGCATCACTTACCCCCCATATCTTCAGGTTTCCCATCCTTCACCACCCCGCAGGTGATATCTGAATATCCTCACCTGTCCTTAGCAAGAATCCTGGTAGGTAGGTTGACATAGAATACCCACCTTAGTCCTGATGTTTCTTATTTTCCATCTACCAACCCCCAACTATTTCTTAGCTATAAACTCTTATATGCCCATGCTGTATTCAAAAGTGACTCTTGTTCTATAACAAGGTTTCTTTTCTCCTACTGCAACAGTCCTGAATAAAATCTGTTTTACTGCTTTTTCACTATTTTCTAGCTCTGGTTTTATCTGACATTCATTACTTAAAAATTGACAGCTATGGGGCCTCCCTGGTGGTGCAAGGGGTTAAGTCTCAGCACTATGAAGCCATCTGCAGCCACTGCAGCACAGCACAAGTTTGATCCCTGGCCTGCCAGGGGAGTAACCCACATGGTGATGCAGTGGTCTCCTGTCTCACCCACCGCTCCCCTCAGCAGTATATTTCAGTCAGTCTGCCTGTTCTGTTCCCCACTTTGTCTCTGGTGAATCTTCTCATCCCCCGCATCTCTGGCCTGTACCCCAGTTCTTGTATGCATAAATAAATAAATCTTTAAAAAAAACTGATCGCTAATATAGCTGCACATTTTTTGAGTGTCAATGACAAATCATAAAAAAACGCAAAAAATTACAAAGTTCTTGCTTTTTGATAAAAAAAATCTAGGCCTGTTAATATGGAAGAATGCTAGAAGAGACTTTCTAACCGTCAAACATAAGAAAGCTTTATAAGAGGTCAATGTTTACCTTTCTTTAATCTTCATGGAGAAAAAACAGAATTCATTATAGGACGTTTGAATTAAACATAAGTCACTAGTAAGCTGTATAGATATTATTATGAAGGACTACCAAGGGCAAAAAACAAAGATTTGTTAGATATAGAATAAAAAATTAATATATAGTAATGCTTTAAAATCTATTTGGCTAGTAGTAAGCAAAGTTCTTCAGTTTCATGATTCATTGCCTCAAATTCCACAAACTAAAAAAAGGAATGTAAGACTTGTTTTTACACATGAGTTATAAACAGTATTTCTGATTCTTGTTATAATCCTAAAACCAATCTTTTAAAAGGCTGTCTAAGATACGTAAGAATAATTGTTAAAAAATCTTATTTCTGTAATATGCAAAAATTATTTAAAGATTATTAAATAATGCATAACAAACTGGGTAGAACTAATTGTTTACAATTTTGAGCTAAACATAGGAGGGAAATCTAACAAATTTTCTTTAACAGTGTATTATTTACAAATACCCTTTTATGAAAGTTTGTTTTCTACAAAAACATTTTACCTGCCTACAATGATGGCAAGTAATTTCTGCACTGGTTTTAGAATTATCAACAGGAGAGGGACCGGAGCAGCTTGAAACCGTGGAGAAGTGTGGAAACTCCTGATGTCTCTCACGGGAAAAAAGTTTAAAGGATGCAATACTGAAACAGTAGGAACTCCTACAACTTCTTTTATCGGGAGTTGTCTTGAAAGAGTGTCATTCCATGCAGTACATTTTCTGGTTGTCGTCAAAATTTCCTTGCTTTTGGTACTCAAGAGGCATCCTGTTCCTTTGTTACTGAAAGTCCTATAGCAATGAAAGTTCCCATGAAAAGTCAACCTATCACACTGATTTACCCCCAGATCCTGATTCTTTAGTATATAGTTAATTTGCACTTGATGACAGTCCCTTGAAGAGACAGCTAGGCTGTTACATTTTTTCCACTTGGTCAGTGTATTAAATCTGAAAACACGATTTCTAGTAGCCGACTGTAATCCATATATGTAGTTCATCTTTGTTTTGCTGTGTACCTGGAATACAAAAAATAAACTATAAGATCTCTGAAAATACCTATTCACTAAGCTGGGAATGTAACATTTATGAAAAAGGCATGCCAGCTGACCTTCCTTTAAGACATCTCAGCTAAAGTACCTTGGATTTACACTCACATGTCTACTCCAATGCCTTTCTACAATACAAACCACAGAGATTTTACTAAGTTTTTTTACTCTACAACATGTACTTTGGAAACTTGATCCTTTTTTTCAACTTTTTAATTTTGAGGGGAGTTTATTTTTACTTTAATTTTGAGGGGAGTTTATTTTTACTTTAACAGCTAAATTATTTGAGAAGTGGATTACATAAAAATAGCCATAAAATTTTATCAATAGAGAGTAACTGAGGGAAAGAAACATGTAACAATATAAAGTAAAATCTAACTTATAAAATGTATTTTTTTAAATACAAATTTGCTCTTTTCAGTTATAACCCGGGCACTTCTGACTGGGCTCAAGGTGGTTAAGAGAAGCTAGACATAACCTCCTACCTAAAAAAGACAGACGTGAAACAATGGTTTCAACAGACTGGACATTAAACAATGAAGAATGATGACCCTTGAGAGATGGGAAACAAATAAGGCAAGCCCCAAAACTGTCCCAGCTTATGGCCAGGGTGCTAGACTGAGAGAAGAAACCTAAATCTAGAACAATACCCCCCTAAATTGAAAAGATGAAACTGGGGTTCAAGTAGGGTACAGCAGCTGGAGCTCACAAAGCAGAGTACCAGATGAACAAAACAGCTACGGAAGCAAAGAGCTCCAGAGATCTGCAGAGATCTCAGCTAAACCCTGATCAGCACATACAATCTGAAAACACTCCCTGAGGCTAGGAAAGAATCACCTGAATTAGAGGAACAAAATGTAGGTTTCACACAGGACAGTGTATAATGCCTGTTCACACCTTTCAAAGTGGAAAACCTTATTAACACATGGAGCACTGGGTAATCAGAAAGGTTCTGCCAAAATGTTAGGGAAAAATTTGCATTAAACTAAAAGCTACTCTGGAACTACCTAGCAAAGATGAAAGGCAATATCCCCAAAGATCCAACTGTTTCTTGTAGTTTAACCACATTCTTAAAAAAAAAGTTTCCAGACTATAAAAACTAAAAATTAAAAACTAGAGGCCTCCCTCATGGCACAAGGGATTAAGATGCAGCACTATGAAGCTATCTATCGCCAGCCACTGTAGCACAAGTTCAATCCCCCAACAGGGAGCTACCCACATGGCACAGCAGACCTCTCCTGCCCCGCCCACTGCTCCCCTCAGCAGTGTATTTCAGTCAATCTGCCTGTTGTGCTCCCACTCTGCTCTGGTGAATCCTCTCACCCTTCACACCTCTAGCCTATATCCCAGTTCTTATATGCATAAATAAAATAAATCTTTTTTAAAAATTACCAGGCATGTAAGAAGCAGGATATGTGATCCATAGAATATCAATCAATTGAAACTACTAAATAATAGAAATGAAAGCATTGACAAGGACTAAGTAAAACTATATTGCATTTGTGTGAGAAGTTAAGGGAAAAGTTAGGTATATTTTATAAGAGATTTTCTTTAAAGACCTACAGTGAACTTCTAGACCAGAAAACTATGATGCTATACTCTCATCTTGTTTATTTTTTATCTAGTATCAGATTAGACATTGCAGAAATAAAGACTCGTGAATTTGACATCCATTAGAAATGCAGAGAGAAAATAGACTGGGGGAAAAAAACACAAAGGATCACTAAGGTGTGAGATAACTTCAAATGTCCTAATAGAAGTGTGACTGCAGTCCCCCCAAAAAATCGGGATATTGGACAGAAAAAAACTACTTGAAAAAATAATGACCAACATTTTCCAAAATTTGATGATAATTGTAAACCCACAAACCCAAAAAGTTAAAGAAAAATCCCATACACAGGAAATACAAGGTATGTCATCATCAAATTTCTTGAGACTAGTAAAAGAAAACCTTAAATTTGACACCTTAAATGAAATGGACAAATTCCCTGAAAAATACACCAAAACTTGTTCAAGAAGAAACAACATGAAGTCCTCTTTTTTTTTTTTGAACTTGTAGTTAAAAACCTTACCACAAAGGAAGTTCTAGTCCCAAATATCTTCACTGAAGAATTCTACCAAACATTTAAATTAATAATTAATAAGAATTAATAATTCCATACAAGCTCTTCCAGGGATTTAAAAAGAAATCATTTATAACTCACTTTATAAACCAGCATTACCCTGATACAAAAGCAATAAAAAAATTGTAAGATTATAGTACTACCTACAAAACTACATGAAAATTTCTCAATTTTCTTATATACTTTATACATCCAGCCCTTGAATTAACAAATAATGTGAATAAAAGCAAACATGAACTACACGTTAACCCTTTTTTAATTACTACCTATTTTGAATGTCTAACAGTTTGACACTACTAACAACATTCTTTTTAGTTTTCGGTTGTTTTTTGGTGTTTTTTTTTTTGGGGAGGGGGAACACGCTGAAAATTGTAAAATAATTTAAAACTGGAAGTTATTTCAAAATTAGTATTGCATGTCTTCCTCATTAGCTAGGTGGCAAATGAGTTATAGATGCAGCACAAAATTCAGTTCACATCCACACAGAGATTATAATCTAGCTGAGGAAAAAAAAGATATACCCAAATAAGATTATTTGGGGGGAAAAAAAATACAATTCCTCATTATGTGCTATGTAGGGTTTTTTTAAAAAAGGACATACATGAGCAGCAGAATAGCTCAGGAATGCAACTATAGTTTTTTGTCACTTGGGCAAATGTAGAAAAAATAATTTAAAAGGATTGTTTCAAGTGGGAAAATATACTTCAGGCTTAAATACTGAGTCTGAGATTCTATTCTCCATACCTACGACAGGAATCTGTATGTGCACAACTAGCATAGGCTGCACATGTACATATATGACAAATGGTGTTTTCTTTAAACGCTTGTTTTAAACTGAGATTCCTGCCCTGATGATGCCCAAAAGAGAGCCAGACACTGACGCCATCTGATGTACCAGGGTCAAGATAACTGGGAGCCTGATAACAAACTGGGGGCTGAACTTGAGAAATACCAAGAATATCAATTATGATGAGCTGTTTGATAAACTGATTCAACTCTAACTTGCTGTTCTAATGGGCTGTTTGCTTATGATTGTTTTGATTAACTCATTATAAAAAGGTCAGCTATAGATGAGATGGCAGAACTGTCCCTCGTTCTCTTCGATCAATGGCCGTAGAACGTTCTCTTCAGTACTCTGCCCTCCGTTGTCTCAGATCAATAGCCAACTATCTGAAAAATGAAAGTGCTTATAGATTCAATCTAAGGAAAGGACAACGGAATTGACTTATGGAAAGAAAATAAGAGACCATGAAACTTGGGGTTGTTGGGCAGATTCACACACCTTCCTAGTTTGCAAAAGACCACTGCGCTGTTGTACTTCCTATATTTGAGCTTCTAAGTTCTTACTGTAACTCTAAAATAATTCTTCCTCTTCACTGAGTTTCTATATCTTGCAAATAAATACCTGATTAGAGAGGTTACATACTTGATACAAAACAGGTATGCATTTGTTTCACATACAAGCTGATAATATCTTAATATATAGGTTGTTTATTGGAACTACCTGAGGGTTCCCGCTATACTTTGCAAAACAAAACCAATTTCCCAATTTTCAAACTAGAGTTAAAGCAGTGCCAGTCAGATCATGAAACCCTATCCCCTACAACAAAATCCTATTCCTGTAACTCAGTCTTACATAAATACTATGCAGCCATTTAAAAATATGAAGGTTTGTATAACTACAATAATAAATGCTACTTGCAAAAATTCTGTAGATCAAGGATAGCAACTCCAATGTGTAAAGCAGTGCTGTACAAAATAACTTTCTGCACAGATGGCAACGTTCTGTTATCTATGCCCCCCAATTCAGTAATGCTTACATGGGTTACTAAGCACTTGAAATATGACTGGAGAGCAATAAAGTTTTTAATTAATCTAATTTTAATGAACTTAAAACCACATGGCCATATGTAATGGTGGCTAGTGTATTGGACAGTGCAAGCATGAGGGTCTAGATAGGGAAACATCAGCAAAGTCAAACTGATGTAAATGCAGATCCATGTCCATCTAAGGGAGGCACAAGAATAATGGAATTTGAGTTTGGTGTTGCCAAATATTTCAATATTCTGAAGGAAAGTCAGAAAATCAGAACTTATGTGAAAGTTACCAATTTAAAAATGTTACCAACCAGCTTAAAAAAAATTTAACCACCCTGACCAACACATAGATCCCATTCAGTTTTGTTTTTTTTTTTAAAGACCTTTCCATTCATGCGTAAAAAAGCTGGGGCACAAGCCAGAGATGCGGGAGTTGAGAGGATTCACCAGAGACAGAGTGGGCAACAAAACAGGCAGACTGACTGAAATACACTGCTGAGGGGAGCAGTGGGAGAGAGAGGAGAGGTCTGCCGCGCCAGGTGTGTCACCTCCCTGGCTGGCCTGGATGGAACTTGTGCTGCAGAGGCTGTGGATTGCTTCATAGTGCAGTGCTTCACCCCTTGCGCCACCATGGAGGCCCCCATTCAGTTTTTGATCTCTAAGTTGTTTTCACTCATCCATTAAATGAGTGCCACCTATTACATGGCTAACACTATTCCAGATGAGACAGAAAACAGACAAAAATCTCTAACAATTAACTAAAATAATAGTGATAAAAATTGCTAGCATACACAAATTTAAATAAATCTAAAGGAAGATACACCAAAGTATTGAGAGTGGTTATTTTGGTTGGCAGGATGGGGGTTATAAAGGATTTAGTATTTCCATTTTATTTATTCCTGTGCTGCTTAAAGTTTAATGGATGTTTTATTTTTGAAAGTCCCTAAACCAACAAAGGCAACTATTTTTATAATTTCCTTTGGTTTCCATGGGCTTCATTAACCTTTATATGGCAGACATGGCTCCCATAATGCTGCCTCCCACTGCTTCCCCAGGCACTTTCCCCAACCCTTCTTCATCCCATTCCTCAGCTCCAGACCCACTGATTTGCTCACACCCCTCAAAAAAGAAAAACTCTCACCTCTGTGTCTATACACATCTGTTTACCACGCCTAGCTCTGCTCACAAGCTAAGCAAAATCCTGCTCTTCTCTCATAACTATGTGAAGAATTTTTACAGCATTCTACCGACACAAAAGGTATAAGCAAAAGCACCAAGTACTATGATGTATCTAGGTAAAAACATTATCATTTATATCACTGACAATCAAGTGTCATTTAGAACAGAAATAGAACCTGGTATTTTGTAATCCCTGGTTTATCCTTAAGAAAAGGTTAAGAATGGGAGAAGAAATCTATTTATACATTTTCAAAGAGTAAATCAGTTAGGCTACACAGAGGGAAAGAATCAGGGCAGACAGATCCTCTTCAAAGAACTATAGCAGGTCAACAAACATTGCTGGCAGACTTCTAGGATTACTAAATTAATGATGTGAGAAAATTAAACAATTTGGATTGTTAGCCTCTAAGAACATTTCAGGTCCTTAATTCTTTAAGCACCATCTCAGAATGAGCAAGTAGAGCGCTCACTGGCACTCACAGCTGAAGCCTAGAAGACAGTTTTAACAACCCTGCTGAAAATGACTATTTCTTCCCTAGTTTCTATGGAAACAGCTGTCAGATTGGCAAAAAATAGGACATGTACTTTAAAATAATCATTCAAGCAAAGTACACACATGATGGAAGGTTTAAAAAAAATAAATTGGAAGGCAACAGACTTGGTTCTTTAAGCTTCCAAATGTCAGATCGCACCCCTTCACCAGGGCTGAGACTGAAGGAAGGGTATGAACCTTAAATATCCTTTTAGTGCGGGTTACAAGGCATTGATCAGTCACTATAGTTGATCAATCCCTGAATTCGAAATAAGTTATTTTCATCTCCCTGGACTAAAATTTCTCATTTGAGGACTGAGTGGCACTAAAACCGCTGCTCCATTTTACACAGGCCCAAATACCCAAAAATAGATGAGCAGATCAAGAAGATGTGGTACATGTACACGATGGAATATTACTCAGCAATCAAAAAAGATAAACGCATGCAATTTGCAGCAACATGGATGGAGCTGGAAGGGATCATGCTCAGCGAAATAAGCCAGAAAGAAAAAGAAAAATACCGGATGGTCTCACTCATAGCAGGAATTTAGGAAACCGAAATAAGGGACCAGGAAAAGCCTAATTATAATAAAGTAAAAATCAAATTCAACAAGCAACTATAAACCAGAGACACACTGGGGGGGGGGCGCAAGGGGAGGAAGGATGAGGGTCAAAATAAGAGGGGTGGGAATTGTAGGGGGACCATGACCAAGACGAAAATGCATACATTGTGCAAAAACGAAAAATGTAAAAAATACATAAAATAAAATTTAAAAAAATAGAGAATATGGCAAAAAATATATATATATAAAAGGTGACTTTTGTAGACAAGTGTATAAAGAAATAGCACTCCCCTGCACAGCTGACTGTTCTTCATCGCTGGGTGCAAGCAAGAGCCCTTAACAGTGGGCGGGTAAGAGCGAGCGAGCGACCCTCAGCGCCTCAGCCCCAGCGACTTCCCACAGGGGCAGCCTCAGGGTGGGGCGCACCTCCCCGCGCCGACGGGAAACGCGACTTCGAAAAGGGGGGCCGCTAATGAGAAGGTACAGGGGACCCAGAAAACACAGCCCTCAGCCACCTTGTCCGCCTGCCACCCCCAGGCAGCTGGGGCAGCACCCTGGATCCCAGGGAAGGCGGGGAGAGCGGGGAGATGGCGGCTCGACTCTCGCGGAGCCCCGTCTCCCGCACTCCCGCCCCACAGCACCCCACTCCCCCCGCCCCGCGCGCCCCAGTCGCTCCTCCCCACAGGCCTCCCCGCCCCCACCCCGCCCCGCCCCGTCCCCGTGAGCCCTAGCTCCACACCCGCCGCCCCTCGAAGCTCCCCGCTGCCCGACTCCCGCTCACAGCGCCCCCCCAGGCCCCGCCAACTTGGAAAAGGGGGTAAAGGCGTCCCCAAGAGGACAGACCCTAGTTGTGGCGAACGAAGACGTCTCCTCCGACCCGACCTACGCGCAAGCGCACAGCCTAGCCCAGAAGCCCCGCCCCCCCACTTCCTGCCCTCCTCTCGCCGGGGCCGCCTTTTGCTCCGCCCACACCGGGCCGTCAACACACCCGTCCCGAGTCGTCCTTCCACCCGGCCCGGGACCCTGCACGGACTGTGGCGCTCTGCCGCCCCCTCGTGGCCGCAGGAAGGACGTGACACCGGGCAGGGCTGCTTGTCCGGGAACGTCTTCGCTTAAAATGTTTTCTTCTTAGAACCTCACGGGACTGAGCAAGGCCGTCTAAGTCATGCTCTAGACAAGGCAGTGCCGGTTGTAGATTCTAAGGCAGATCAAGGAGCCGGACTTTTTAATTGCGACAGTGTCTTACAGACTCTTGTTCAGCCATCCTTGTCTGTTTCTGGTTTATAGATGTTGAGCAACTCCCTTTCGGCTTCCCATCCATTTCCCCCCCTGGGGACACCTGTGCTGTTTTGTACTTTCACATCCATCTAGAGATCGAGCCCTCGAGGACTGACTACGTCAAGTGTTGGAGTAATTGCAGCCTCCAGACGCCGGGTGGTGAAAGCCTTTTCCTTCCAGATGCTACCATCCTTGGACATTATCAAGCCAGTGCTGTGGTTTCCTCTCAGCATCATCTGTGGTCTGCAGAAGAGAGGCCCTCTGAACTCCTTAGTGATGCTCGCGCCCCTGTCACCGGTGCTTTCCAATTTATCTTTGTGTATGGTCTGTCCTCTGTGCCTCCTGAGGAACATAGCCCTCTGAGAACATAGCCCTCTGACTGGTCTTCAGGCTCCACAGAACAAATTCATTCCCACAAGTCCACTTCTCTCAGCTCCTTCTCTCTGCCCTCTACAGGGCAATCCAGCTGCCTTCCTCCCTGGAGATTTCCTGTGGCCAAAGATTCATGCTTTATCCAAGGATATGTCTTCTCTCCCAGGGCTGCATACATCCAAAGGCTGGTTAACCTAGACCAAACGTGTTTGTAACTGTCCCAAACATCAGACAGCCCTTGTCTTTGGTGTTTGCCAATGGAAATGCAAAGACGTAGGTCTAAGTTGTAGGCAGAAAGGAGCTTATTGGATTGCAATAGGCAGGAGCAAGGGGTCTTCAGGACTAAAACCGGGCTCCCCAACTAGTACTCAGGTCTTTATTTTATAGGTTATACATATTCATAATGATAGTCATAGGGAGTTTATATATGTGCATTGAGTTTCAGGGAAAGTGGATATTTCTAAGAAATGGTAAGTGTGCATGCTCAGGCATTCATCATACCTGTTACATGTGTTCCATTGGCATGGAGGGTGGGGTTAAGCATTATAATTAAAGTGGGTTAGATTTTCTGTGTCTAACGAAATGGTTCTTCAGCCTGTGCACAAAATTGGACAGCTGCCTGGGCCTGGATTGGGGCTGTGATGGCTGGTCAGGAAATGGTACCCACAGGGGCAGAAAAATTGACCTTGCAGGATGCTGCTCGTGCTGCTGCTCTTGCAGGAACACCTGACAACTTAGACCACAAAGAGTGAAGACAGTAAGTTGGTGAAAGTCCTTTATTCATTAAGTGAGTGGTGTGTCAGTACAAAGGCCGGGACCTATCCTTCAGCCGAGGACAACCTTACAGGGCTATCACAGTTCTAGTGTTCTCTGTGGGATTGGTTCAGAAGTCCCAATTCTCCCTCTGCCCTGTCCTTTTCCCCTTGTTCCCTTCTAGCTCTAGTCCTGATGACCCCCCTCCTGCACCTCTACCCTGCGCAGAGACCTGTCTCAGTCTGTTTCCAGGACACCCAACCAAAGGCTACTCACTTTCCTTAGGAAATGGAAGCCGCTTTGATACAGAACGTCTTTCATTCACACCTCCTAAAGGGAGCTAATACTGAGTTAAAAGAGAGTAACTGAAGAATTATGAAGCATGACTTGTTTTACAGCCCCTCCTTGCAACACACCTGCACTCCCAGGTTTTTATTACATTGCTTGGAAATTGTTCCTTTGTTACTTTTCTACCACTGACCTGTGGGTTTGGGCAGAAAACTTTCCTTTGTAATTAATTAAATAGGGAAAAAATGTTTAGACTGTGCCTGTTTATGCTGTAGGTCACACCTATTTCTTAAATCCTGCCCAGCTCACAGGCAAGTTACCAGATTAGCAAATAGGAAAGTTGTTCTGGAAAGTAACCACTGTCAACTTAAGGCATTATCAACATTGCAGAAGGAAGCAAGGTCACTAGGGGAATTTGGAACCCCAAGACAATGATCTCTGAAAACAAGGGCCAGTCCAACTCATATGACAGGCACCTCCCTTACTCTGGACACTTTAAAGAAAATAATTTGACCCATGACTTTTCTGGATTCAGGTTGAAAGCCAAGTGAGATGACAACCAGCTTTGAAGAGGGTCACATATTTGGTTGGCAGAAAGGGCAGGTGGTACCCCAGCTGAAATGGCCTTTCATTTTTCTTGATAATATGCCAAACATGACTGTTTCAAGTGCTGGAAATGACTGGTCCTGCATTTGCAATGTACCTAACATAAGAGAATTTCAGCATCTTCATTTGCCTGTTCTACTCCAATAAAGATTAACTGGTATTCATTCACATGTTTGACTTCTTTACTTTTTTTAAAGATTTATTTATTTATGCATATAAGAACTGGGGTACAAGCCAGAAGTGCCAGGTGGGGGAGGGTGAGAGGATTCACCAGAGACAGAGTGGGGAGCAGAACAGGCAGATCTACTGAAATACACTACGGAGGGTAGCAGTAGGCAATACAGGAGAGGTCTGCTGCACCATGTGAGTTAGCTCCCTGGCTAGGATAGAACACAGTGCTGAGACTTAACCCCTTGCACCACCAGGGAGGCCCTCAGAAACACATATTTTCTATTTTTAAATTTCATATTTTTATATGTTAATATATACAAATCTATCCATCTCTTCTTCATGGTTTCTGCTTTCGGGGTCATACTGACAATCTGTCTCAATCCTAAGATCATATATTTACCAGTATTTTCTTCAAGTGTTTAATGACTTAGTTCTTTCTTTTTTTTCTGTAATTAACACTTTTTTATTTTAAATTTATTAATTTTATATATTTTACATCATTTTTCATTTTTGCACAATGTATGCATTTTCATCTTGGTTATAGTCCCCGTACAATTCCTACCACCCTTGTTTTGATCCTATTGCCTTCTCCCCGACTTTGTGCTTTCTTAAGCCTTTATTGTCCCAGACATTTATTTTAGTGTAAGATCACATAGAAAAATATAACTTAAAATATCTTCTGCAGGATTAGCTCAGTGGAACTTTTTACAAAAGACACAAGCACAAAATGCATTAGGATTTTTATTTTGCTATTGCTGTTCTTTTTAAACTTAAATGGGGGAAATTTATGACTTTGTATGGTTCATTCTATCAATCCAGGAACCTGGTACCTGTCTCCACTTACCCATGGTGGTCCCAAGGTGAGGACCACCCAAATAACTGCTGTGCCAACTATTGACTAATCCATCCATTCCCAATTGACTGGAAGCTCAAGCACATGCTAAATTCTCAAAAACCTACATCTGTTCTGGAGTTTGCTTTATATCCCGTGGTCTTGTACTAATACCTGACTCTATTATAACTTTACCATATAGATTATAACTTTACCATATAGATTTTATTTTCAAAGATTCTCTGGCTCTTCTAACACATTAGGCCTTCCAGATGAACTGTTACATATGTGTGTGTATATATAACTTATTTATTTATATATTTTACATAATTGTTCATTTTTATACAATGTTTGCTTTCTCCTCTCAAGTGTAGTCCCCATAGAATTCCCACCACCAGGAACCTGGTACCTGTCTCCACTTACCCAGCTCTTCTTTTATGTCTCTCATAATATTTTACAGTTTTCTCAGATGGGTTAAAGTGGTGTAATTTTAAAGGAACTATAACTTTGACTTTTTAGAATGACAGAATTTCAGAGCTAGAAGGGACTTAAAAATCACCAGTTACTCCACCCAATCCATTGTTGAGTCCCCTTCTAAGACAACAGAAGATATGGATTATACTTTTTACATAATTACACCACACTACATGTATTTTCTGTGACTTCCAGTTTATCACTTAAACAACATGCTCTGAAGAAATTTTTATATCAATGTGTGTAATTCATTTTGATCACTGCATGATTTTCTATAGAAATTATAATGCACTATTTAATTTATTATTCCTCTGTTCATAGGCATTTAAGTTTCTCCTATTATTTTGCTGTTTGAGATAATCAGCTTACGTTACACCCTAGCTAAATTCAAGGTGCCAAATTCAGAGCCCACAATCACTACCGGTAAATGTCCCCTCCCCAAAATTACCACCAGGTGGCACTGTTCAAAGAACAGTGTTCAAAGAAAGGCTTTGCCTTTGCAGAGTCCTTGGGTTTTCACGGTTTACTGACCCTGAGCTATATAGTAAGCATTGGACATTTTTAATATACTCACTTCGATACAATAAATAATTCCATTAATCGGAAAATACTTAGGAAATGCACACTACATGCCAATCACAATGTGGGTCTGAAAGCTCCAGGGAAAATTAGCAATCCCTTCTACTCTTCTGAACTCCCAACAATGACCAAGACAAGACATGAATTGCATCATGACACCCATTTACTTCTACGCCCAAATAATTCTTCACCCATTAGACCAACAGACCGGACACCAGATTGTCAAATGATGCAGACAATCCCTTAAATTTGTTGTGAAATTTCCATGCTTACCTTCACATGCTCTTGGACCTGCTGTTTTCCTGTGTGGAATGCTGTCTAGCTTAGGATTCCCTCAGAAGCAGACCCTGACACAAATATCCAAAGGCAAATAATTTATCCTGGGGGTGATCTCAGGAAGAACTGCTTGGGGAGCAGAAAGTTGACGCAGAGAAGGGTAGGAAGCCAATAAATGAGGTATTAACAAACCAGTTACAAATGAAGACAAGTGGCATGGAAGCCCTCTGACGAGTGCTGGGAGACTAACACACACCTCTGAGCTTTCCC